TTTATCTTTGAAATAATACTTTATTCGCGAATACATACGATACAAAAACAAAAAGAAGATAATATTTTTCGAATTTTTAATTAACAAATTTTAATATAAATAATGATTTTTTTTTTTTTAATATATAATTTTTAATATGCAAGATTTATTTTAATGTCAAATAAAAATATGACAAATTAAGGAACTGTATGTGAAATTATGATTATCAATCATTTCTTATTCTACTTCTTTGTTTTTTTTAACTACAATGATTATTATGAATTAAGATGATGATTCTGAGTGAAATGAAAAAAAAAAAAAAAAATAATGGGATAGGAATTTGTCTTTGTTCGATCGGTATTTCGAACAAGGGACAATGATGGAACGATGTTGTATCCATCGGAGGCGGCCTCGGCTGTTAATGGCGAGGAAAGACATATCGGGTTTAAACCTGTTCGATTAAACACCTGAAACCGCAGCGTAACGGTTATTGACAGATTTTACCGCAGAAATGTCGTGTTGCGAAAGAAAACCACGAAAGTTCGAAGAGAGTTGACACTTTTAAACGATGGATAGAGACGAATTCGTCATCGAAACTCCAAAATAAACTACGACAACTTTTCTAAGCCTTTATCTTATCTAGGTAATTTTTAAAACGAGTATTAGCTAATAGGCGAATATTTAAGTTTGAAAATATTTAACTTTAACTTCCTTCCTTCCTTCTATTTTTTTTTTACGATAACAAATATTTAAACCTAAATATAATCTTATAATCCATGTGAATTTACGAATAATAATTGTTCTGAAGATTATAATTTTCTTTTTAATTTCGTTCGTTTATTAGAAATATGTATAAATAATTAAATAAATTATATATTATTTCGAAAAAATTCAAATAATTATATAAAAACGAGAAGAGTCACGTGTAATATAAAAATAATAAAATAGAAATGATCGTACCAGTTAAGACAGAGAAGGAAAAAAAAAAAAAACATAAAAGAATTGTAATGTGCGATTAGTAAGCGTCATTGAACGATTGACAAAGAGAATACAATGAAAAAACAACTCTATTTTTCTTCTTGATAATACAACTCTGACGTCTGTCACATTAGTCAAAATAAAAATTGCTCGGTATAAAAGACGATACGGATTTGTAGGGACGATGATCGTCGATTTAAAACACGACGAGGAGTAAACACTTCGGAATCATTGACGGTCATTGATTTTAATTGAACTTCTATTATACTAACTCTTCTATACGTCCTATGATTATCCTTAGAAAATATTAGAGAAACTATGTCAATCGATATTTTATTATTTTCTATCAAACAAATTTGCAAATTTTGTTCAATATTTTTTCTTTTCAATTTATACACGAGCATAAATAATGGAATCTCTTTTTAGATCTTTTTAGACGTCCATTTGCTAACGTCGTAGCTTCTGGCAAAAATGAAAGAAAATATTCCATTGGAGATGATATAAAAAGGTTAGTGAAATTGTATGATGTAATGAGGCTCGTATAAAGGCAATCGAAGTAAATCATGTTAAATTGCTAAACGACACGTTTTTAGCAGCTTCTTCTTTTTTTTTCTTTTTTTTTCTTCGACTATTTGAGCATCTTTCGACGAGATAGTTGTGATTTGCTTTTGTGTGAAAATATTAAATGTTACATCGATGATCTGCATTATAAAATACACGATAAAATAACATAAAATAAAAATATACGTTTATTTCTTGAGTTATTTTTTTTTTTTTATTTATTTATTTATTATAATCGATTGTCAGCTATAAATGATTGAAATTTTTGTTCCCGACAATAATCGTACAGCTTGATGGTATTAAATTCGAGAAACTATGGTGTGTCATACGTCGACACGACAATCGATCGTAGGAAGAGGCAAGAGAGGACAAAAGGTCGGGAGTGAAATCGCCTTCATTCAGGATATCGTGCACGCGTGTTGCATTATTGTGCCTCGGATCACAGCTGTTCAAAAATCTTCCCATAGAAAAAAAAAAAAATAAATCTTGCGAATCTTTTTTCAAATCCGATGAGTCATCCTAACTAATATTATTATTTACCATTGCGAGTTTTATTTATATAGTATTATACAAACAATATAATTGTTATATCAATGAAAATTCAATTATCATTTAAAAAAATATATGATAGTCCAACAAAAATCTGTAGATAATTTAAAAAATTAATAAGTTTGTTTCAAGAGACATTAATAGCTCTATTTTTTATTTTTTTTTATTCTAATTTAACAAAATTATCAAATTCTAAAAAATGTTGCGCCTCTCATCATAATATTAATTAAAAGATACGTAAATATCTTCGTTCAATCTTGTTTCAATTTAATTTACATTGAATGAAAAATGCGCGAGAGTATTTAACGGATAAAAAAATCTACATAGGATTGAAGAAAGGTAATCATAAATTCGATATCGAAAACTAATTCGAAATATAGTCGATGCAGTCAGTACTGGTAAAGGTAGCATTGTAGCCTATATCGTCAAGGTCACGACCTTCTCAAAGAATCGTGACCGGACTGCATGTTACTTTTCCCCGGCAGGTCGTTGCCTCTCTTTCTCTCGATGCAATATACCTTTTTCTTTCCTTTTCTTGTTGCTGTCGTTGTTGTTGCTGCTCCTCTTCTTCTTCTTCTTCTTCTTCTTCTTCTTCATCTTCTTCTACTACCACCATTACTATTACTACATACTTCACTATGAATCTCCTTTAGACGATGCGATTATCGTTTCCAACCCTCCCGATGTTATACTAGAAGAACGAGTCACGAAGATACGAAATTGTTCTATCGTTTATTTTTTATCCTAAGTTAGATCGAACCTGCGATCGTGATTATGATAAATACGAATTATTACCTGTACTGATCTCAAATACACATATCATGTGTTCTATATCCTATATAACAATTTTCACATTATTCATTTTATTCATTATACAAAATATACTTAAATAAATATTTTACCATGTTTATGATTTAACAAGTTACATACCGCGTGTACCATTTTCAATATGTGTCCTATTGAAAATCATTACTATGACAAATGATGTTTTACTCATTGAGAGATAAATAGATAACAGTGATCATTATTTGTATATTATTTTGTATATCGCGTATAAACAATATATTTATATAGATATACTTTTGTATGCTTAGATTTTCCTAGATCGTAACACGTTCCGCAAGAGAGAACGCAGTAGATCCTAGATCCGAGTACGGTATTGTATTCAAATAGGCGCTTATAGTAAAGCTCGACAAAAAGGAATCGTTTGATCGCGTGGCGTGAGCACGCGGAACGAATCGCGCAAGGACGCATATAAGCGTATATATGTATATATTCGTACCAAAAAACAACCGATGATAACTCGTTTCAAATCTAACGAAGAAGTTTTTTTTTTTTTTAAAAGAGGGACAGAGGGAGAGAGAGAGAGAAAGAAAGCAAAGCAATTTTCAATCAATATACTGATAGCGTTTTATCATGTATTTCTTCAAAGGTTAGTCATTTTATCAAAACGTCAAGAAAAAAAATTGAATACTTTTTCCTATGATGTTTTAATAGAAAAATATAAGAAAAAATTTGCTGTAAAAAAATAATTACTTTACAAATATGCACAGATGATATATATATATATTCAATTATGATTTAATTGTAAGTATAATTATTATGACTGTTTTTAAATATGGCGAAGCTCTGCGCGAAATGGATAAACGAAGTCTCCTGAAAGTTAGCAACATTTATGAAAATTTAAAGTGAAAGAATATCTTGTTAATTAATTCATTGATTAAATTAAATATGAACAATATTTATGCATATAATTGTTATAACTTATATAATAATTACAAAACAAATAAATTAATTTATTTTCTTTAATTTTTTGTTCTTTAGGGAGGAGGGGGGCAGCTTTGTGCCATCGCACAGTTCCCATTAATATATATATATATATATATATATATATTGTATTAATTTTTTTTTTTATTATTAANAATATTGTATTAATTTTTTTTTTTATTATTAAAAAAATATTTATATTTGTATGCACGCGAGCGTCTATTTTTTTTCTTCTTTTTTTGAAATTCAACGATAAAATATATATTATGCGTTTAAATGATTTGCATATAAAATAAAATTGCAAGATCGATTTTATCGATTGAGTTGTACGATAGAATTAGCATTCAAATGTCAAATTATTTTCACGAATATTACAAGAGATCGTTGTTTAAGAAGCGTGATAGTATTTTTTTATAAATATCATCTCACAAAATGCATTTTTCTTACTTACTACTCCGCCATCTTATATACCAACGATTAATGCGTCATAAAAGACGAACATACCGAATGATTTTCAATCTCAATTTCAATCTCAATCTTAATCTTAATCTTAATCCCAATCTCTCTTTCTCACTCTTTCTTCTGTTTTGTTGTATTATTGATATATTTAAATTATCTAACGATTATTATCAAACGAAATATTAATTAGATATAATAAGATTGATTTATTGTGTAACGTGTACACAAGCATATGTCAAATAAAACAATTGATAATAAAATTAAATATTAATCAAGTTCTATTAGATAATTATAGGTAACAAAGTGTAATGTCATAAAGAACGTTGTCGATTATGGCAGATAACGTTCCCCTCTATCCATTCACACAAAGTGAAAAATTTAAAAAGAAATATAAAACAAAATGAAAATAAATATTCGTTAGATAGCGACAAAAATCAAAATATAATAATCAAAATCTCATAAACAATCTAAAACTCGTAAAATATATATTTTTTAACTTTTTGTTTACTAGTTCGTTGTTGTTTTTTTTTTTTTTTTTATGAAATCATTATCTATGCCGTTGTCAAACAAATGATATACTGCGCAATAAACAAATAAAACCACGTTTGAGTTAGATAGTATTTTTTAAATTCAAAAAAGATATGTCAGAGAAAGAGAGGGAAAAAAAGACAGGGAAAGAAGACAAGAAAGGAGAAAAAAAAACTTACCTTAGATGACGAGAAGGAGGAGTAGATTAGTTGATTAATGGATGCAGCAAAAGATACAGAAGAATCGATTTAAAAAATCCAAACGGTTTGAAAATCGGCAAAAGGCACCGGTAGCGTCAGGATGTATCGGAGCACCGCATGCGTTCGTTCTTCCTTCAAACACAGAAACGAAGGAGGACGATGGACGATCGGCGCTTCTTTGAATATATCGTCGAACTTTGCGACCACATAATATTTATCTTACGCGATACCGGTTTATTTACGAAAATAATAGATAACGAAATTAAACAATAATAAGTTGAACGAAAGTATAACGACGCGACAACCGATAAACTAAAGAATATTAAAAACCGCCAAATGTACTCGTGCCAACAGACACTTCGCTACTGTGCCGCGACGCTGAGTTGTTATGCGGCGGCCCGATCTCGCTCGGCTATTGGTGGAGGGGATAGACGCTAGGCCGCCAAACTTATCGACCAATCCCGATGTTCCTTTCGATCTCCTTTTATCTTATAACGCAAGATGGCGCATCATTTGATTATTTTTTAATTTGTATATATACATATATATCTATTTTCCTAAAGTTATTTTTTCAATTATAAAGTGAATTTTGTTTATAATTTTTGTTAATAAAATACTAGTTTTTGAAGGGTTATAATTATTATTTTTAAATAATAAAAAAGTGATAAAAATATATGTAAATGCTTGAAAATATAAATTCATTGCTTGCACATAATATTCCTTTCAGAATTAGAAGACAAATAAGGAGATTATTTATAATTAGTTCTATTTTGTTTTTTAATAATTACTTATGTAAAAGGATTATAATGGCAATGATTCTTGTTCGTGTATAATGAAATTGAATTTTACCTCTTACTCATTTAAACTTATCTTACTTAAACTAATATGTTATTATTCATGTACAATGTATTTAAAGTGAAGTACGTCAACTATTTACATTTCTATGACCACTGTGCAAAATTGGAATCGGTTATACTTTCTGGTTTGAGAGGCCACAACGACGGTGGTAAGTTTGGATAATTAAGTAACTCTGATGGTACCTCCCAAATGGGATAAGTTATTTCTTTCGTGGTCTCCGGTTTGGTGATATCTACAAAAAATTCTTTAACTATTTCATCTGTATCAGGCCATCCACCTTCAGGTATAAACTGAGATGTTCCCATTTGTTTAGCTGCAACTTTACGTTATGAAATATATATTAATATAACCTCTGCATTTTAGAATATTTAATAGTATTTACTCTTATCATTACCAATACGCTGAAGTTCCCATATCATTGGTGGTGTGTAATGAGAAAACTTGCAACTGCGTCCAAAAGCGCAGTCACCGCTGCTCATGTACTTTTTGCATGGTATTTTTCCTTGTTCTTCTTGCAATATTATTTCAGGGTCTATAAACAATCACTTTCATAGTGAACAAAGGTTAAACAGATCATGAGAAATGTGAATCAAGTTTCATTACTTAATACAAAGAAAGTTTTATAGGTTATTACGATATTATTTTTCTGTGATACTAGTATTCATAAAAAAGTTGAACGTTGACAATAATCATATTTAAATACCTTTGTAAAAGCTATAGTGGTCAGCTCGGTTTTTGGCATGCTGAAAACTAGATAAATGTTTTTTTCTAGATTCGGGATCGTCCTTGAATGATCTCTCACAATAATCACAGTAATATCTTTTACCCATTTTAAACTACTTTGGTTTATAAAACATCAATTTATATATGTAATTAGATTTACACATGCATCACATTTATATTATGTATGTAAACATCATCAACACGTTTCGATGAAAAACTGTATTATCGATAGTTCGCAAGTGTTCGAAGCGTCATCTATTTGTAGTTTAGTGAGGCGCCATCTATCTGTAGTCTTGTGAACGTACATATATATTATATATTTTTATATGATAATTTATGCATTTTTTTTTTTTTTAATATAAAAGGAGAGATATATTTAAAAAAAGAAAAAAAGAAGCAAAAACAAATGTTTCCGTACATAAGCAGTTCAATTTCGACACGTAAATTCGATGATCAATGTGCCATTATTTGAATACATTTAATAGATATTTATTTTTTTTTGTTTTATACACAAACAGATTACATACACGATACTGCTCGTTTAAACATTACAATTGTTTTTTCTTCTTACATCCTCATAGTATATGTATAATGCAGCGTTTTGTGCGTAGCTAATCTAGTTTTAATGTGATAGTAATGTCACGTCGCATCGGCGAAAATGTTTGTTCTTTTTTTTTTTTTTCTCTTATCTAACAATATAAGCTGTACATAATCGAAAATACTCCTCTAATGTTATTTTTCAAATTGTTATTTTATGCCTCTATTATTGGAAGCGTTTATTATTAGAGCGAAGTTAACGTTATTGTTGTTATTATTATAATATATGAGAAATATCTTAATAATTTATGAAAATTTTAAGCTAACCTTCTTACCGATCGTAGTTAAGAAGCACACAAAGTGTTTTCACATCGATAAATTGCATATTTTTCACCGATATTTAATTAGAATAATTGAATTAACATGACAAACATCTTCGACGATCGTCAAACATTGTTTTTTTTTTGTTTTTAGCTTCTTACACAAGCAATAGTTTGTTAATAATTTATAAATAACGTGGAATGTGTAGAATGTATTTTTTTTTCTTTTTTCATTTTATATATTTTTTTTTTTTTCTTAAGAAAGCCGAAAATGTTTTTAAAATTCGAGATATATCGTGTATCTCGCTCTACACATGAGGACGATTAAATTAGCCGAAAAATTACACTTAATCTCGTTCTATATATAATCGCAATGTTCCTGTTTTTCTTATTCCTTCTTTCCTTCTTTTTTATTCAGACAAAACATTCGTTCGATCGTCGTATCGATCTCTCATGTCACAAATTTTCGAAATTCGATAAACGATTGTTAAAGTTCTTCGTGTGAAAACGTTGAAGTTTTCATTATACTTTCGGTATGTGATTTTTTTTTTCTTTTTTTTTTTTTTTGTTATAAAGCGTCACGAGTCACGTTTATTATATATCATATTTCGGAAAAATTCCTATTATTCGCATGTTCGCACTTTTGGGATTTCGTACATGTAAACGCTCATTAAAATACGGAGACATATTATCTATCGTTTGAACGATCATTTCGAAAAACAAAAAAAAGGCTGAGGCATCATTGCGCTTTAATTAACTATTTATTAACGAAAAAACAAAAAAAAGAATCATAAGAAATACGAAAAAATATCAAAGCTTAATAAAAAAAAAAAGAGAATAGAACGAGAAAGGGTATGCGTGTGTGTAAGTTAGATTCTAACTTTTGAACATCTCGAATTCAGCACGTTTCGTTCGTTTCTCGTTCGGTTAAAACGTTTTTTCAAGATAGCATAAGGATAGAAAAAGGAGAAAGAGAGAGAGAAAGAGAGAGAAAAATATGATAGATATTTTTTTTTTTTTTACAATAAATTCTCTATACAGAGTTCCCATCCCAAAGAAAAATATACAATTCACGTGAATAATTTCGTGAATTTTTATTCTTCTGAGAATTAGATATAGACTTTTTTTTTTTCGAGAAGAAATTCTCTGTACATATAGAAGCACGGACACGCTATATGTCTTTATCGAATATGTATATATATATATATATATATGCATTGTTAAATATACAATTGTTAAAAAATAATCGTGTCTTGGTGCATTACGCAGTTTAATCTTCGATCTTGTTTTTAAAGATCGAGAATGATCTAACGTGCTGAATCGTTTTTTTATTTTCTTCTTCATTTTCTTTGTTACGTGTGTATGTGTGTGTGTGTGTGTGTGTGTTAATTATTATTATTATTATTTAAAAAAAAAAAATAATTTCAACGGGCGGAGAGATAAATGAAGAAGCTGCTTGCGTTTTGTTGTTGTTGTCTTTTTCGTTTCAATTAACGTTAAACGTTTTTAGGCCTGCTAAAAACATTGATCAATCATTTTTTCGATCATTTATATGTTTTGGTATCTATAAATAATAAGAATAAAAGATAGGACTAGAATAAATTACATTTGATGATACTGACTTTTGTCGTTTGCTTGGCAGTCTGATCTGCGATCGTTCGTTAACATAAATCTTGTGGTTTATTCTTTTTTTTTTTTTTTTCTTTTGCTTAAGATCATGAGATTTAAATCTAGTTCCGGCTGAGATTTATAAGCGTTTAATAACATGTGTGCGTTAACGTATAATATACGTACGGTTATATGCACATGCATGAGTATGTATGCTCGTATTTGTTGCAACATATTTTGCTAAATGAAATCATAGAATTACACAAGAAAAAATACACACTGTTTGTTTTATAGCTTTGAAAAAAAAAAAAACAAATTTCTATTCGAAATATTATTCTTTTATTTAATATTTTTTTCTTTCCTCCTTCGTCGATAGAAAACATCGAACGACATCCATTAAGAAGAATTATTCGTGTATTTGTATTTGTGAATATAATAGATTTCTAACACAACAAGTTTGTTTGAATCTTTTAATATTCTTTTTTTTTTTTTGTTCAAATGCGTATCTCCAATTTCGAGCGATCGATTTTAACGATTACTTGCAGCGTCAACTGGCGGAGGAACGTGTGAATTATTCCGATAAAAAAGAGCCCCTTAGGGTAGATAATCAATTATACATGCGTGTACGAAAGAATATTATTGTTCGTTTCATATTTTTGTTATTTACGAACGATGAAAATAAAAAATGTAAAAGGAGTAATCATTTGTCGAATAATTTATCTTAATGGTGTTCAATGAATCATTTGAAATAATGAAATACCAATTTGAAATGTGTCTTACACGTACGCGTCCCATAGGTTGCTATTAATATTATTATTTTTATTTTATTCAATTTGGTAAAGTGATTGATTAAATTTGATCGTTATTCTTAATTACTATTATTATTGTAATTGTGTTTTATCTCTTTAATAATAATAATAATAATATTAATAATAATAATAATAATAATAATAATAATAATAATAATAATAATAATAATAAGTTACGTATNAGGAGAGTATATAAGTTTATCGAAAAAAGAAGGGTTTTAGGTAGGCAGGTGGTCAGATGAAGGTGCTTGTTACGCGTTATATATATATATATATATAATAATAATAATAATAATAATAATAATAATAATAATAATAATAATAATAAGTTACGTATATAATATATACGATAAGGAGAGTATATAAGTTTATCGAAAAAAGAAGGGTTTTAGGTAGGCAGGTGGTCAGATGAAGGTGCTTGTTACGCGTTATATATATATATATATATAATTATGTATATATTAACTTTCAAATGGATTATCAAACGTCACTCTAATTTGCTATACACTGTTACTCGCTACTTTAGAGCAGCGAGTTTCGCGTTTAATTAATTCTTATACGGTGTTGGACCGACCGAAAAATTTGTTATTCTCGAAGGAGTTAAATATTTTTTAATTTATTTATTTATTTATTTCAAATTATTTGTTCAAGCTCGAGTTTTGCTCGGGGAACGCGAGGACCGATTGTGTTTTGCATTTTTTAATTATTATTATTATTATAACTTTTTTTTTTTTTTTAAATATTATCATGTACACTTACATACTAACAATATTATTAATAATAGTAATAATAATAATAATATTAATATTAATAATAATAATATTTTTTCATGAGCTTTTCAAACGTCGTTTAAATCATTTTTTTCCTTATCCTTCATCCTGTCATTTTGTTTTTTCGAAAAGTTGAATTATAATATTTATTTGGAATATCTCTATATCTCTTTCTCTCTCGTATCTAGTCTCTCTATTAAAAAAATTAGGAATTTGGAATGGAGAGGTGGGCAGAGGGGAAGGGTGGGAGTTAATGAGCATTACGATTGCACACGTCAAAGCGTAAATCAATTACCGGGTTACAATCTCTCGTACACAGATCGCAGTGATAAATTTCTGGGTGCGCACGCACGTATCCCTTTAGGCTTACTATATATATATATATATATATGCATGCATGTACGTATGTATGTATTATGTATGTATATATATGCGTATATATGCAAACCTAGCTCGAAATAGAATCGCTACCAATAATTATACCGGTGCTTTGCTCTAAGCCCACTGGAGAGATTCTAGCCGTAGAAGGGAGGGATATTATAAAGGGGAAGAGAGAGAGAGAGAAACGTTTAGGTTTATTTGAAACTATATATATATATATATAGGCATATACAAGAAGGAGAGAGATAGAGACGTAGATAGAGAGATCTCGTTCTTTATGTTCAAACTTGAAAGAGATTTGATATTCGATCTTATTGAATCACATTCGAAGTTTTAATGACCCTCTCAAATGATGTATTTCATGCTCTTCACTGATATAATGCATTAAATCGTTAAGAGAGAGGGTGAGAGAGAGAGAGAGAGAAAGAAAGAGAGAGAGAGGACGGAGAAGGAAGAAATGATAGACGTTTAAAGCTCACACACACATTTTTTTTTTGGTTACTTTTATCTTTCTTTCATTTTGACACTTTTTTTCTTTTTCTTTTCGGTAATAAATATGAAAAAGAGGAGCTTGACATTTTCTCTGTTATCATTGATTATTCCATTTCTCTTATCTCGAATAATTTTTCTCGATCAATTGAGACACCCCCAACGACGATGAGTAATCGAATTTTTCTTTGTAGTTTTCTCTTTTCTTATCTTTTTTTTTTTTTTGCGGTAAAGTTAGAAAATTTGTTCGGAAAGAAAAGAAGAGCGGTCGAGGAAAGAAATTGAAAGTTTCGAACTTTTGCGATTTTAAAACGAGCAAAGAATAACAAAAAAGAACAAAAAAAAAAAAAAGAGATAGAGGAAAAATAAGGAATACGAAAGTAAAATTAATTCGACATTCGCGTAATGATTCGGTCAATTTGTCGTCCTCGTTTCGTTTGAAGAAAGAGATCTTGTAACTTGGTATTTTTCCCCCTTTCTACTTTTACTTTCTCTTCTTCTTATCCTTCTGGTACTTTTTTTTTTTTCATCCTCTTCCTTATCTATTATTTCTTCGTCTTTTTTTCTCTTTTTTTTTTATTTTCTCGAGGAACTACCAGACTCCCTCGTCGCTCCTTGGGAATATAATTTAAAAAAATCACTTTCGGTCCTCTTCCCAAGATGGCCGACACACCCGGCCGCCATCTTATTTCTTATCCTCGCCTTCGGTGTTAGGAGCCACAGACACCTCCTGGCGAACCTTGTGACCTCGGAAGCTCGCTTGGATTTTTGTTGCTGCCTTATGCAAATCCGGATCCGTTAGATCTATACCCTCTAATTCGTTAACAGCATCCTCCACCTAAAATCAAGCAAAGAAAAACCAATTACATTAAATCGAGTTCGAAGTGGATACAATTCTATTCTTTTTTTTTTTTTGTTTTTTTTTTTTTTTATCAATCAAATCTCGATGACATCACAATTTTTTTGTATCAAACAAAGTCTCCTTTTACAAAGTCATTTTTACAAAAAGTCTCTTTTTATCAAGTCACCGTTTTACAAAGGATTCCTATTCTTTCGTGCAAAAATAAAAATGAGAAAGAGGAAACACTGATAGTACGTGTCAATGAAAATCTCATCAACTTATTCTTTCGACCATCCAATTTATCGGCATTTTTCGCATTACCTTTACACACCCCTTCTATTTTTAGATTTAATTATGACGGAGTATGGTCGACGTCATAGCGTGAGCTCGTGTTATGAACTTCCGTTGAAAAGATGATGAAGGAAAAAAAAACGAAGATGAAGGAAGTAGGAGCCAACGAAGAAATAGAGAGAGACAGAGAGAGAGAGAGAGGGGGTGGGAAATAGAAGAGGGGCAAGAGAGGGAGAGAGTCAAGTCACATGCAAACGAGCTTTATAAACATGTAAATTGCAATTACGCTAACACATTTGCATCGGCACGACGTACTACCCTACTCGTTTGCCTCTTATTTTCCACCCTCTCCTCTTCCATCTCTCCCAGTTTTTCGACGAACTAGAAGGACATTAATCTTCCCTCTCGTTTCCTTGTAGTTAGAAGAACGTGATCGTCTTCCTTTCTTTTAAAAGAAAAGACCAGCCCTCTTTTCGTGTCGTTTCAAAACATACATTTACTACTATGTACACATACATACGTACATAGCTTTTAACGAAAAAAAAAAAAAACCTATCTTATAGGGAGACTTTGTGTGTTCCTCTATTATTCCTCGTCAGTGAAATGCAAACGTTGAAGTTGATCGAAGTGAACCGTGCTCGTTTCACTTTAGTCTCGTTCACTTAGCTTATGGGTCATGTACATTCCAATTGTGCTAGATTTCTTCTTCTGAAAATGAAATGTCTATTCATCGTTTCAATATATAGTTATTCCTTAGTATGTCTATTATATTGTCTATGCGAGTATATGCGATGTTCGATATGATAATTAGGTTTAAATTGATGGATAATGGTAATCGTGTTGTTGATTCTGTTTAATATCCTTCACGTTGTTGTTCGCTGTTCATTTTGTCGATAATGTTTACGATCATGATGTTATTTCATGGAATAATGTTCATACATTATGATCCCGATATTAATCATTCTAATACTATCGTTGAAGATAATGTGAATTTTTTTCAAAGCTCGATTATTACGAAGAAATTAATTAATAAAAATAAAAAACAAATAAAAGAAGTTTATTTAACGAAAAATAATACATTTTGTATAACTATGCAGATTACTGTTAAAAGGAAGATAGAAAGAATGTTAAAAGCGAGCTTGAAAATCCTTTGAAAAGCTTTCATGCTTTTGTACAAAGTACGACTGACCTTTTTTTTTTTTTTTGTTATTTTATTCTCCTACCTCTAGTTTGTTTTTTTTTTTATTTATTTTATTTTATTTTATTTATTTTTCTTTTTGTTTGTTTTTTAAGGGCTATGCTCCACTTGAACGACGCTTTAACGTGAAGACTCAACTCGATGCTTGGTTTGTTAACGGATCGAATCGAATCTCCTAAGAGAAGGAAAACTTCATTTCAGGAAACTTCACGAGGCTCCAATTAATTCTGTTTAATTAATTCGAACAACTCGTCTGTGGAGGTTGCACTTACTTTTTCTTTCTTTCTCCTTTTCTTCTTACTTTCTCGAGAATGGGTGAAAAAGGAAAGGAAATTTTCGAAAGAGTCATTAAGTCGGTAGCAGCTAACGAGAATAAACGTGAACGTTGAGATTGTACATGTATATGCACATATATACATGTTATATGTATATACATATATATTTACTGATTGGTAGATGACTATAAGTATAGGTATTGGTAAAGGTATATATCTCGTGTCTCGCAAGAACGAAACGCAACAACTTTCTGACGAGCTTGAAGTTTCTATGTATTATACTAACATAAGTCGCGTGTGAAACTTATGTTGCCTTCTAGGAGAATCTGAGAGAAGATCCTGATGCATCTGAGTTCTCCAACTGGATTTACGAAAGAGAGAGATAGAGAAAGAGGAAGGATAGTGGTAATATAGGGATAAAACTTTATTCGAACACGTATTTTCAGTTAAATTGTAGCTTGCTAACTTATGAGATTGTGGTAATTTAGGCTTAAGTAATAAATGTCTATCAATGGTCAGATTATACTAAGGAAGTTAAGTAAATGTTAATAAACTTTTATAATGATCTTTTTTTATTTATTTATGTATAATAAATATAAAATATAATTCACATTAGCATTGAATAAAATTTAATAAAATTGTAAGTATAATAGGTATTTTTATCCGTGTATTCAATTTAATTCCATTAAAAGAAGTATTTATTTGATAAGGCTCGTGAAAAGAAAAGATCCTTTAGCGAAATGAAGTTTTATTGACGATTCATCATTCTCTTAGCCAAGGCTTTCTAAATCTACGAGGAACTACTTAAACGAAAATCTCAGCTTAGCTGGGTTTTCGCGTGTTGAATCATTTCGAGTCGACACATTACGAAATATACGATCGATCGTTGGCAAAACACGCTGAAGAGGGTGATTCAAGTTATGAACTCCGAGAGATTCATGATAAGGCACGTTTGAAATCTAATATTATACGTTTTTACATTTATTATTAAAGTTTGGGGAATAATTTTGTAGTCTAATCATACACTGTGATACTTTCTATTATTTGGAGTTGTACTGTTTATTTAATTTGTTTATATGTAGTATTAGGTTTTAATTATTATTATTATTATTATTAATATTATAATATTGTTTTTATGTGTGTAAAATAAGTATGGAAATTATAATATAGATTTTGTTCCTTAGTTTTTATTACGGATTTATTTTACTAAATTAATCGTGTAAAAGTGTCTGACCATATATCGACAATTTCTACTACTTGGAAGTAGTATAAGTCATAAATACATTAAATTATTAAATTAATTTTATATTTGTATTATTTATATTATTTTTTATTGTATATATATATATATATATATATATATATATATATATATATAATCATCAAATTAAAATTACAAATTTTTTCTTTTCTTTAATAAAACATTTAACTTTAAACCTTTAGTCCAACTTGTTAGAATTTGTTTATTTGTTCATAATTGAAAATCTTTACTTATAGAAATTTGTAAAAGAGATTAATATAATCTAAGATCTTTTTAAAGATTTTCTATCGTTACTTTAATTTTTCTTCTCGTCAAGACAGCTTTCCTTGAACATTCAAAAGAAATCCCTAGGATTCTTGCAAGGGACTGCTAACGTTCTATTTCTTCTTCCTTACCGCAAAACCTTTTCATGTCTTTTCCATTCTAACTTTTCGTAACTTTTCAACGTTCTTCAAGTAAGCGAAATATATTTTTCGAATAGCGATTCGAAGTTTGAAGGACGAATAGGATAAGAGATACAAGTATTTTACGATGAGCTAGAGAACTTAGACATTTTTGTCGTATATACGATCAATCATCTTGATAGAAGATCGATCGGTACCACCGTTCATTTTATCAACGTATCTTACTACTCTAACATTTTTTCCTTTATACCTCCTTCATTCCCTATTTTATTCTGTTCTTTTTTTTTTTTTTTTTTTTTTTT